TTTTCTCCTTCCAAATAATATATATATGTATATATATATATCAAAATGTGTATAAAAGTAAAAATATATATATAATTCCATTCTTCAAAAAGCTTGAGATATGTTGTCAATCAGGAAAAGGCTCATAGAACTGCAATTTCGCTGTAATGTTGCATAATGAGAATTTTAGAGAATGACATTATGATTAATATTCGAACTTTTGATTTATATATTTTTGTATATTTTTCCTATAGTTTTAGTGCTTTTATTTGCATATAATTATTCTTGGCAGAATATGAGATGGAAGGAATGTCATAAGCATACTGCAAAAATATTTCTGAAAAATATTTAAGGAATTTGAGGCAACTTAAATCTCACTTTTGTTTATATCATAATAATTACGCATTACGCTATATTAAATCGTGAAAAATTCTGTAAAATACTACATATAGTCAATGCTATCACTCTTATATATGATTTTAATTTTATTTTTGTTGCAAGAAATTACGCTTTTGCAACCTTTTATAATACAAAAGTGTAAACATTTATTTGGAATCTTGTGCATGTGTTTTCGAGTTTGTAATACTTATAAATAATTCTGTAACAAGCTTTCTCAGCTTATTACACGTTGTTGGAATGTCACAGATATACTATATATCATAAATTTATTAAAACTTAATACCTACTAGTCTGACTCTACACATAAATTCTTATATTAAGAATTATGTTGCCTATTTAATTAAGCAATTATAAAGTATAGGGTATAAACAATTTAATTAATAGACATTTAGATATTTGATATGAAAATTATAAATATTTTCAATATGTATAACAACCAACAACAACTAAATTTAAATAATTTTTACGTTTGCATATCCTTATGTATTGAATAGGGGAAAACGAAAGAAAGTCACGTAATCGGCACAATTCCGCAACAATGTTAAACAGGAATATGCTCAGAAATGCAGATGTGAATAGTACTCTAATTAATATAATATTATGCTAGCTTGAGACTTATACGTCCTTAATTGAGATTCGCGTATGCATAGAAAGGTCATTAATGCATTAATGCATATCAAGCGTATATTTCGAGACCGATTGTTCTGCGGTTAATAGCGCGCAAAAATTTTACATCCTCTCTAAAGCTATAATTTTTTATAATTTTAAATTTATAACAATTGAATCTTCAGCATCACTATACGACTACACAAAAGCCCATTGTAATTGGACGTACTGAATATTGTCATTCAGTTCTCTAAATTTGTATATATACTCGTAATAAAGTGTAAAGCTTTCAAAAAGGGGAAAGTGTTGAATGTACAAGTAACTATTTACCTGTGCGCTCTTAACATTCGCAAAAGTATTCTCAAACTATTGGTGTTCTTTGTTAATGTTGTCGCATTTATATAAAGCTAAATTACGATGAAGCTATTCAAGTTGAAAATGTAAAAAACTTAGAGCTCGAGCTCTTCGGCAGTGCGTGAGAGTCTGTGATGATCGATACGTCGTCGTTGGCTACGTCTTACAGCATCTGCTCTGCGATATGGTTCCGATCTAAGACCTAGAAGAATATCCTCCAGGGCACCATTGTACACTTCGTCTTGCTGCAACAGCTTCTTCTCTTGCACTAATCTTGTCTTGTTCTTCAATTCGTTTATAACAGCATCCTAATGATGGAATGACATTATGGAAGATATTTCAGACTGTCATATATGTTATTCAAGAATTACTGCTACGTAAAGAATTTTCAATATTAAAATTATATATTATGTACACTTTAGAGAAAAAAAATGTAAGAAAACACAAAACTAAGATTACATTATCTAATTTTTTAAATTAAGGAAAGCTATATTGTATCAATCTACAATTACGTTTATACAGATTGTATTACTCATTTATATGATATAATACATGAAATTATGTGGCAGTAGAGCAAAAGGTGATGAAAAAATTCTTTCAAGCAACATCAATGCGAGCTTAAACATGCTAATGCATATTTTGATGCATTGTGGTTAGTACAAATGTGATATAAAAGATGTGATATTTACGTAACAGGTATGTATGTATGTATGTACGTATGCGCGCGCGCGCGCGTGTGTGTGTGTGTATGTATGTACGTATGTCAGTAGCGCGTTTACCTATGGGCTTTTGGGGCTTGAGCCCCTGGGCGCCGCAGCTTCTATATATTCTTAAAAAAATGTTCCATTTTCAATTATCTCCTTGTTCTTAAGTGTGTTTCGGTAAAATTTAATTAATATTTAAAATGTTAATTATTTACTGTTTACTCATTGGGGGAAGAAGGCTAGACTGAGGCGCTCGAAAATCATAAGCCCCTGGGCGCAAATTTTACAAACGCAGCCCTGACGTATGTACATATGTACGTATGTATGTATATGTGTATGTACGTGTGTACGTGTGTTGTGTGTGTATGTATCTATGGCATGAATGTTTTTTTAAATAGTGATGATTATCATTACAAATGTTATTCACGGATAAACTTTTGAAAAGCTATTACCCCCGATTTTGCTGATTTTTAGCGAAATTACTTATTTTATGTAGTAAATAATATTCCAAAATGGATTTTTGGCGCAAATGCCCCCTCCGCCCCCCAACCCCCCTCAAAGGTAAAACTGTTTTTGTTAATTATTTCAAAAAGTATTTATTGTACGGAAAAAGTTGTTAAGCAAAAAATGAAGATCATAAAATGCTCTATAAATAAGGTCTTATACATATTTTACCTAACTCCAATATTTTAGCCGTTATTATCAAAAAACTGGAAGCAGTGTGTTCCGTCTCCCTGCGGGGGGCTCCACCATCACAAAATTATACACATAGGGTCTGGATTGAATCTCGCTTTGCGTAGAAAGTCGTAAATCCATGTGGAACCTCGCTTCGCGTTGTAAAGTGTATGCGTGGATGCAGTGAGTGCCGCCCCTCCTACGGGGACTTTTACAAGGTTTTTTAATAATAACAACTAAAATATTGGAATTAGGTAAAATATGTATAGGATCTTATTTGTAGAGCTTATTATGAGCTTCATTTTTTGTTTAATAACTTTTTCCGTACAATGAATACTTTCTGAAATAATTAACAAAAACAGTTTTATCTTTGAAGAGGGCTGGGGGGCAGAGGGGACATTTGCGCCAAAAATTCATTTAGGAATATTATTTACTAGATAAAATAAATATTCAAGCTGAATATCAGCCAAATCGGGGGTGATAGCTTTTCGGAAGTCCACCCTTATTCACAGTCAAATATGTGATTATTTAATTTTTCTTTGCTTGTATATAATGGTATCTTTTTTTCTTTTTTTCAAGTCAGAAATTCATATATATAAACTTTTCTATAGAATTAATAATTTTTTTAGCTTTAATGTGCAAGGTACGTGTAAAAACACAAGAGACTTTATGTAGAATACAGAAAAAATTGTTTATAGTGATAATAGGTTTATATATACACAATACGGTGTATGTGCGGGTATTATTTATATGTCAATATAGGAAGTGAATGAGGACAGACTTACATTGTGAATTGTTTCTATATTGTTATGTTCTGAGCTCCAGTTCATTAAGATGGCGGTGTAACAGACTCTTGTTCGAGTTACAGCAAAATTTCGGTGACTTTAAATCCAAATAAATATGTAACAAATAAGAAAACAGATGTTTATGAAATGTATAGTGCTTAAAGAATGAAATTACTAAAAATAAATGCATTAAATAATCAGAATTAATATAATCATTGATCCCTTCAATTTATCCCTTCATGCTATTTCACAACATGCAGAAATCTAAATTGTTTCTACATTTATTTGTTCATCAAATTAATATAATTGTTTCAGTATATAGATAAAAATCCTTATATATACATATAGTATACTTGTAATATATTAGCAAGATTGGGAAAGTTACTTTATAAAAGTAACTCGTTACCGTTACCGTTCTTTTTTCTAAAAAGTAACTCGTTATCGTTACTCGTTATCAATTTTAAAAAGGAACTTGTTACCGTTACTCAAAAAGTAACGAATCGTTACAATTTCCGTTACTTTTTTTATATATAATACAAATTTTATGCACATTTTTTTCTAATACAAGATTAAATTAAACACTACAAATTTACAGTAAACATTAAAAATTTTTAAACATTATTTTTCATTAAAGTAACAAAAATAATATAATTTTAATAATGATATTGCTATTAATATAAAGTGTAATAATTTTAATAATATATAATAAAAGTAATTTTAATAATAAGATATTTTTAATAAGTTGTAAACAAGCTTTCTTAAAAATTTTTAGATGCTGTAAATATAAATTAAAGTTTTTTTATTGTTAGTTTTTCTATAAATTTGTAGATATATAGAGTAAATTTGAAAAATGTAACGATAAAAGTAACTGTTAAATTCGTTACTCGTTACCGAAAAACGAAGTTACTTTTTTTGTTACAAAAAAAATTTGTAACGCCTTTACCGTTACAGTTGCCGAAAAAAAGTAATTGTAACGGTAACGGCGTTACAAATAACGCGTTACTTCTCAACCCTGTATATTAGCTACATATATTGTAACATATACATATAATAATCTTTATTATACATCAGAATGTGCAGATAATAAAAAGACTTAATTATTAAAATAATATATGTAGCTTCTTGAAGGAAAAATTAAGAAAGTATCCATGCATCAAACGGATAAAATCAACCGAAGAAAAAATAAGCATAGCTTGGAAAGCAAAATTTTTCTTTAACATAAAAGACAAAATAACTAATTTAAAAAAATAATATATCTGTGTAAATTTATCGAGTTATACATACAGGGTGATTCAAAACAACCTGATATCCTTGAAATGTCATATTCTTAAGCGAATTCTGAGACGATTTTTCCTTTTACAAAATTTTGTCCGAAGCTTAATAATTGAAAATACTAGTTAACTACTTACGAGTTCGGTACAGCGGGCAGGCAGGGACGCGCAACGCATAATGAGCCTGTCTAGTGTTATGTTAATATCATGACACGTTGCCCGCGTCCTTGCCTGCCCGCTATATCGGCCTCGTAAGTAGCTATTTTCAATTATAACTCGAAAACTAAACTACTTCGGACAAAATTTTGCAAAAGGAAAAACCGTCTCAGAATTCGCTTAAGAATATGATATTTCAAGGACATCAGATTGTTTTGAATCATCCTGTATATCAAATTTGTATTTACACCTAAAAATGTATAATGTATCTTCCTGTCCCTATACATATATCATTATTCATTATTCATCTGTTTCCTTATATATAAATTGTAATTGTAATGTGTTATATGACGTGTATTGAATATTAATTTTTAATGAGTCTAGCATTGATGTTGCGTGAAAGTTATATAAAGCTCAGAGATGTATGAATAAGAGATGCAACATATACAATATGACTAATAAGAATTGTGATAAATGTAATTATGATGCAACTTCAGTGGCAGGTAGCATTAGAGTAAACAGGTTTAAAAGGAGAAAAGTATTACTATCTGAAATCTTTTTTTATTTAAAAAAATAAAGAGATTTAAAGTAATAATAAATAATAAAAAGTCAAATTACGTAAGGTCAGAGTCACTATCAATGGGTTTAATATGTGCAAAATAATATGTAAGTAATTATAATTGCAACAAAATTATACATAAAAGAAAAAAACACAAATGCATAATATAAATAATCAACATATTAAACGCTTTACAAAATATTCTTTCGCTAAAAAATTATTACTGTTATTGTTAGTTTATAATATTATAATAACATAACAATCAAAGACCATAGAAATTGCATTAAAAACAAAATGTTTCCAAATTGATATTTTAAGCGTGGCATGCTATATATATTATATATATATATGTGTGAACACTTTAAGAAAAAGAATAAGTGCTTGCTTCGATCTCATTAATTTCCGTAATCCTCGATACAAGTTCACGCATGTAAACGGGACAAAACATTAAAGAAGCTTGACATACCTGTTGCTTCTTCTGATTTAATTTATTGCGTTTTATAACTTCTTCCGAAGTATTCAAAGCTTCTGCTGCAGCAGCCTCTAATCTACGACGTTGTTCATTTTCTTGATCCGCTGCCTGAAAGTTTGAGTAATGTTTCATTTGATTTGTGTTATTGCATTTTTAACAAAGTGTAGTCTAATGTTACAAGTTAAAAACTTTGATACATATATAATAGAACAGGATTACAAACATACCTTAAATGCTCTCGCGAATCTGACAAGAAGGGAGAAAAAGGTGTTGGCATCAGCTTGTCTCGGGCTTTCTCCAAAGAATTCGACACACTCTCGGAATGCTTCACCGGCGGTGCGTGCGTCAAGTTTCAACCGGCGTAATTTTTCCTCAGAGTTATTCAAAAAGTCACGTAATACCGTATTGTGTTTTTCTTTGCCACGCAATTCGAATTCTTTTCGCACAAGATCCATGCCTTTCTCCAATTCGTGAACATCAGTCGTTATGTTTTCCAGAGAAACTAAAATTAACACACATACAGTTTTATGGTGCAAACAAATAAAATATTAAAAATAACAAGCGAATAAAATGTGAGTAGTAGTAGTAGTAGTAGTAAATTTTTTTTATTAACTTTTGTTTTAATTTTACCAACACTTTTAATTATCAGAAAATCATTCTTTCTACACACACAAAATAGGTTTTCTTGTTTCTAGGCTGATTTGTCATCTAATCTTATTCACCAAGTATTACACTGAAATTCTATTAGCTAACTAAAAATAACGTTGAAAATTAATCTAAAAATTAATACATACAGAATATAAAGTAAACATACCTGTTGCAGCTTTGTCGATGTACATTAACTCAGATTCAAAATTAATCAGTTCCGGGAATTTAACTCGTATTGTTGCAACGATATAATGCAAAAGGCACATCCTTTTATCGGTCGATTTTGTATCCAATAATGTATCCAAGCTTTGTAATTTGAAGCCGTACGCAGGGCCTCGTTTGCTACTGTTTAAGTAATTACCAAAGGCAAGAATAATTTCTAATACTGCTCTTAGCTTTTTTGAACTTTTAACTGAACTGGATGCAGATATCACAGCATGTATTTGTGGCGTAATGAGGTGTAAATTGTCGAAAAAGTTTCCTATATAGTTCATAATGGACAGTTTGGTAGATATTCTCTCTACTTTACCAAGTTGCATCAAAAATTTATCTTCTTCTGTCAATAAGTTAACGTTCTTCTTTTCTATAATGTATTCGCGGTAAGCCTTTATCTGAAAAATACATCATTTATATTAGTGCTGTTAAAAATTTATATTCATAATTTCACAATATTATTCATGTTCACACAAGTAAAACAGAAGCGTACCTCTTGATCGGTAGGTACCATACGTTGGAGCAATTCCACATTTTCAAGCGAAAGTACTTTCAAGTCAAGAGCATTTACCGCCATAATTACTTTCTCAACTGGCATTTCCATTTTTCGGCGCGATATGGCTAAAATAAAAACCAAAAATAAGAAATTACGATGAATTTATTTCAATGTGTTACTTGAGCGAAGATAAAGATTTACTTACCAATATTTCGTAATCTTGTGTGTTCCAAAAGTGATATATTTTCGGGTTTCTTGAATCGTTTACTAGGAAAGCTTTGAAGTCCGTCGATCTCACTATTACCATTAGCCACATGCCCGCTCATGCCGATTTTAAATCGTTCTTCAAAATCGGAAAAGTCGATATAATTATGTAGACGATCGTCATCCAGTTCATTGAAAATAGTACCCCGCACTTGGTTAGGTTTCAGAGCGATCCAATTAAGCGTAGGAAGTTTGTACTTTGTTTGAACCTGGATAAGAATGCAATTCCATGGTCAAGATAATAACGGGAGAATATTAAAGGGGTACAATCGAGATCTTCAGGCACTTGTTTGGCAAAACTTCCGCAATAATTTTCTTACTAATAAAACTTTTAAAAAAGTAAAAATTAAATAAACAAAAATTAAATAAACAAATATTTTTAACGACCTTTATCATTTATTACACAATTAATCATTTGATCATGAAGAAACTGTCGTTTTTATGCTGTACTTCATTAACTCGATAATCTCAATGACCTTAATCGACTTTATGTGCACTTGATGTTAAAGTATTATATTCATTGACGAATATTGTTACAACATGTCAGCGATTGAATGCACTATTAATGAAATATATACTTTTCGTTTAATAGTCATCGCTCCGTCAGGCGCTTGCATCATGCCGGCAGGTGGCGGTGGTATTGGGACAGGTGGTGGTAACTTGTGATCTCCCAGAGAGAGAGGCGCCATGGGAGGCGGTGGTGGGCATGGTGGCGGTGGCGGAGGCGGTGGTGCCGGTGTCGGTGGAGGCACTTGGTCCGACGTCGGTGACGGTGTCAAGGCGAACGTTTCGGATGTAATATCCGAATTACTTACAGGACTCATCGCGATTCCGTTTCGTAAACTAATCGCTGAAAGATTAACAAGCATTTATGTTATGTTTATCATTGATTGCACATTGTAAACACTTTTATCTTATAGAGAGTAAGGTACTTGACGATCTCTTCGTGAGTGTTCCCGTGAGAGTTTCCAATTCGATAATCTTGTTCTCCAGTACACTCTGTCTTCGGGCGGAATCCTGCCTCTGCCTCTTTAAAGCCGCGAGTTCTTCTTCTACTAATCTACGCGCCTCTAAGGCGTCGGCGTATTCCACTTTTAATGCGCCTAATTCCGTCTCCAGCTCCGCCAATTTCGCCAATGATTCTCTTTCTAGTTCTGCCATACGATCATGCGCCTGTAAAATATGATTAGATAATCAAAAGACTAATACATTAAAATGTGTGTGATAAATTTGTTGATATGTATATCGTACCTTAATTATGTTCGTTACTAAAATATATTGTATATGTATATATGGAGCAAATATTTACAGTAAAAGTAGATTATATTTATAATTTGACGTATTTTAGGTGTAAAATCGAAAATATAAACAGAATTTGTATACACATTAAATGCTTAATAAACATTCAATGCGGAAATTCAACCTCAATTTTCCCATCTGACAGAATTTTTTTTTATTTGACAAAGGAGCAATTTTTTAAGTTACATTTTTGCTCTACGCCCTGGTGAAAAATATTCTCAGAATTTTTCATAAAAAATTTTCAGATTTTTTACAAAAATTTTATAACTTTTTCAGAAAATTTTAAGATTTGTTATATGAATTGGCACACTTTTCAGAAAAGTTCAGAAAAGAAATGAAAATATATGAAAATATATGAATAAATTCATTATTTCTCAATTTTCCAGATCTGTATATATTAAAGCCCGTGTCCACGATGCAAGAAATTGGTTCGAGTTCTTGGCCCAAAATGGTTGGATTGCTTCAAGAAATGTGTAACCAATCAACTTGCTGTTTTTCCATAAGAACTTCAATTTAATTGGCTATACATTTCTCGGACCAAGAACTTGGACCAATTTCTTGCATCGTGGACACAGGCCTTTAGAAATATCAAATATTTTTACAAGTTGAAAAATATACGATGTATCAGCTTTTATTTTTCTACCTTATCTTTGAATGCATTTCATTTAGCAATGTAAAAACGTGTATATTTATTTTCTAGTAGATATCGAACATAGAATGTCACGTTAACATACATGTTAATACATGTTTTATTCTGTGTTTGACATCCAATGAAAAAGATAGAATAGAAATATATACTTGCGTTAATTTG